TCACTTTTTGCAATGGACTAGAAGGCTGTTGACTTGTAATTTCTTTGTTTACACTTGACTTATTGTCGCAGCGAAAAAAAAAACTATTGCAAATCAGAACCCATTTAAGAATATGTACGTTGTTTTGTAATTTCCATCCCGTAGGTTAAATGTACTTTTCGAATGCAACAAAATAAGGTTATATCCCAAATCGTGTCCAATGCCGTTTGAGGCGAAAGTTTAAATAGAGAAAAATCAGCAGTTGGCGGACCACTGAACATTAACTTGTTCATGTCAACGTAATGAACACCCATCCTCCACAGTTGACAGTTGGGTTCTCTTCAAGAAGAGTTACACCACTCTATACAGTTCACATCAGTGGTTAGATTCTGTGGGTTAGGTTGTTTTTCAGTATTTTTGTTTGGTTTAAAAGACAATAAGATAATATTTACGAAACCAAAAGTTGCTCTTGTGTGATTTTTTTTAGTAAGAAAATTTACAAAGACATCGTGGTGTAGGCATATTCCCTCTATTTTATGTGTTCAGAAAAACATATCTCAAATGTCACCTTTATTTTCATGAAAATCGACTAAACCAAATCTAAGCACCTTAAACTGTAAAAAAATTTACGTCTCCCTCTTGAAAAAACCAAAAAGTCGCTCAATATCAATTTTCACGTTTACAACCTGTATAAAGTCAGGTTCGTGACATTGCCACTACTAATTGTGTGATGAAGACTGCAGTTGTTCCCTTACCGCAAACATCTTCCGTTTCCTTCACTTTCCATTTCCATAATCCCCCTTGACAGATTAGCCGCTGCTCACTCGACCGATCCCGATAATTTCCGTCCAAGCTAATCGGTTTCAAGGTGAAAATTCGCATCCTTTCATTACAGTTTTTCCGTCCTTGTGTTTGCGTCCACGCGAGGTTGAAATGGTCAAGTGATCATTTTGTTACGCAACCGAACGGAAAAGGGAAACTGATATTTATGTCGTTTGGTCCTCCTTCGCAAAAATAAACTGCTACTTGTACAATTCATTTATTAATAGGGCTTAGTAGATGGTGCTAGATATGCAATGTATGACAGTTTTGGAATACTTGTCTTTAACGGGTTTTGATCTTTTATCATCCAAACATGTTTGTCGCGTCAATTACAAGCATATGGTTCTTTGAAGGTTGTCGAGTTATTTTAAATATATTGCCTGTTAAGGTGTTAAGATATAATCAATGTAGCGAGTCATTTGAAATAATGTTGAGAAAATAAATAACACTTTTTTAAGTTTCAATAGATTTCAAATGTTAGAAATTATCTAACAAGTGCAATAGCAAACTTCGACCTGGGCCATGTGGGCAAAAGAAATAGTTGGGGAGCAATCTGAAATCAGTCCAGTAAAAATAGTCGGGCCAAATCAAGTGTATTGCTAAATGATTATGTACAAATGTTTATGGTCCGTAGATGACACCTTTTCCACACTTAAGTCAAACTAAGGGTCCAAACATGTTTTAGAAAAGTCTGACAGCCAAATCCCCCCAAACGTCGGGTGTGTTGAATGAAGATCCACTGTTTTGTAGCCTGGTGGGGGCCAACCATCTATAACTACTACTGTAGTAGTTATATATCGATGGGGCCAACTGGGCCGGAAACTGGGATAAGCATTCTGTCGAGATGTGATGTATTTGTTGCAATTGAGTGAAAAATGTAGGTGATTTCCTGACTGTGGTGGTAGGGCCTGGAGGACCCTAGCATGTTGCAGTTAAGAACGTGCTATCCTCTGCTACCATCATAAAATGACAATTTAATAGGAAACGTTGTTGGGGAACCAGAGAGCGGAAATCTTTACCCAGACCAGAAGCAGGCTAAGCCAGTTTTGATTACTTATAATTTAACTAGAACACAGAACTACAGCTAACCTTCCAAACTAAACTGCTAAATAGTGTACAAATTGAGACGGTAATAAAATAGGTCTGTTACGTAGCTCATAAGTATTTAAGACAGAGAGGATGTAGACAATACACTTGGCATTTATAGAACGTAATTAAAATCCATATACAGCATATACATATACAGAGAACATGGTTCGCAGAGTGTAAATACCACGTGCACATCTAGTCAACCCATTTCCAATAATCGTGATTTCAAATATTCCAGGTAACCTCTATGCAAATGTGACAAATTATCCTTATGCAGAAACTGCTATTCGTTTAAACATTCAGTTCTAAGTTCGAGGAACTACACTGTGGAATGCAGGGTGTTGTACGGGTGTCCGGGCAAATGCGGACACGGAATATTGGGGACACATCATTAAAGAGGGCAAAAGCGGACACTAGAGATTACTGCTACCTGACAAGGGGTTGACAGGTCTCTGCAAATATTTCAAGGGCGGAACATTGCGGACACATGTATCTACGACGGAGAAAAAGGTGCGAGGGAGGGAGGCCACGGGTATTTGGCAGTTTAAATCTTTATCTTTCTATTTAAAGCTTGCCAGATTGACAATGTTTGATAATTAAATAAAGAATAAAGACGGGGAATCGCTAAGAGATATTGGTTTTCTTACTTTATTAGCAAACAGATGTTATCTGGACTAAACCCTTGTGTGGGAAGTTCGTAAAACCAGTATAGTGTGGCGTAAAAGTTTTTTACCGTGCACTTAGTCAGCTGATGAAATAAACAGCAAAATTCAACGGCCTATTTTATTTTCTGAAATATAAAAATATTACAATTTATGTTATATCCAAACAAATTGTTTCATGAGTTAAAAATATACTAATTTTTCTGTGTAGTATGATGTCAGGAATCGTACGTTACTCGCCCGGTAAGCTTTACTGTTCTCGCACGAAAATCCTGTGAAAATCCGTGAACTGTCGTGCTTGCACGGTAAAACACCATTTACCGGGCTAGTGGTGTAATATACTATTCCTGTAGGCCTGTCAAAACTGTACGACGTGTCTATCGCCTTGGCAATCAATTGACAAAGGTAACCCGATGTCAAATTTGAGCCTATAAACAATGATATATGGTATGAACCCTTTATAACATTAAGCCTTGTATAATTTTAATGATGGCCAGCTTCAAAAAGCGCAATATTTATCTAAAATGTGGCATTTTTATTTGATGCGCGTTTATTGACAATAATTTGTAATGAATAATTGACAAATGATAATGGACCACACTCTATCCACTTGTTCTATCTATTAATATCATATAGAACTCGATAACAGAATGATGTTCAACTTATATTCCAGCTTTCAATAAGTAGTTCAATAAGTAACAACATTTGTTGAAGGCTATTCGTTCCAGTTTTGGAAATCCTTGGAGAATTTTTACATTGTAAGCACAAACGTAACGCGTATGATAGTATAGGGATAGTCTAGCTTTAAATAGAAAGATAAAGATTTAAACTGCCAAATACCCGTGGCCTCCCTCCCTCACACCTTTTTCCCAGTCGTAGATACATGTGTCCGCAATGTTCCGCCCTTGAAATATTTGCAGAGACCTGTCAACCCCTTGTCAGGTAGCAGTAATCTCTAGTGTCCGCTTTTGCCCTCTTTAATGATGTGTCCCCACTATTCCGTGTCCGCATTTGCCCGGCATTCGTTGTACGGGCGTGAGCCGTTGCCTCATTGCCACGCGGTTGCATTGAAGGGGCGGCGTCAATGAATGTGACAACCATAAAGTGTTGCCACACGTCGGCATTCGCGTGTCACGTGTCACAGTTTGACAAGCTTGTCTCAACATGTCGCCGCATGAGTAAGTGTCACAATGTTGAACGTTACCTAACCACATTTTGATTTTGTCACGTAGTTATGCGATATGGGGTAATCTGGTAGTTGAAAATGACAGTCGTGAAGAATTTGACGTGACATGATTTCTGATGGTTGTGTGTCCGATTTTAACACTACAACAATGAACAACGATTATTATATATACTCACAGAGTTTGTCCAAAAAAACTTAGCGCAAATAAAAACTGTTCAATAGTTGATACAAAACTTCAGGCATTTCCCATTGTGGCCCATTGATGATTAATAAAATAAAAGACTCGAACATTTTGGTATCAGAAATCTAAATCTCTATTCATGGGGTAGGAGACGAACACAACGAAAATAGTACACAAACAAGAACTTGTTTCATAGTAATGTTTGCATGATATGTAAAGTACAGCATACTTTCTCAATCCTCTTCCTCTAATACACCATATTGTTAAACATCGCAAGATATTAAGATAACCCAACTCATTGCCACCATTCTCATTAGAGAGCCAGCTTGTAAATCGCTACATTATTCTAATAAGATTTAACACGAAACAAAGGACTCCTCCCGGGAGAAAGTCGGCGACAAACAAGGCGGGTGTAAGAACATTACTTTGCTAATGGAGAGTTGTGGGTTGTGGGTGGTGTGTACTGTATGTATATGGTAGCTGATACTCGACCACTCTTACTTTCAACTGCTGTAGGACTACTGTTCTCCAGTTTTCAAGAAATAACCTCTATGATTAAACTTAATGGTGATGATGAGATGAGGTAATAAATTTTGACTCCATCAAGATAAGTATATAACAAAATTTTTCACGCTTCGGTTTCTGGAGTTTGAGGAATCTGATTTCGTCCTCTGGTGAGAAAATGCCTTGACATAAGAAGATACACAAGCCAAGACGAAGATTATTTGTGATTTTTAACCTTTAAGGTTAGTTCACCAGCTGGTAGTCACAAGTAGCTTTTGCTTGATTTGTTTACCTTCTCACTTGAGGATGGGAACAAATTTCATATTCCGAAACGTTGTCAAAACATTTTGCTAATCTTAATATAAAAGGTCCGTAATAATTTCTTAACTGAAATAAAAAAGCTATCGGGTTGGATTGTTCTAGTTTGTAAGTGTGTCAAAGAAACGTAAACATACTTTATGTTATTATTATATAGAAATTGTATATAACAACTTAGAGGTGCATACATCCAAATATGAATTAGACAGGGTGAGATGTATTGTGAGGTTTTGTTACTGACTAAGTGAAACTGTTTCAGGGCCGAACCAGTGATCTTCAAATTGATAGGTGAGTACTATGACCACTTAGGCTACAAGTAGAACGTACAATTACCATCATCTCCATAGTTTTTGGGAATTTAAGAGGAATTTCAAGCTCGATTATGTAAAAAACTGTTTTATGTAAAAAAAACAGATTTCTCAAGATTTCACCTGGGTAAAAATCGACAGATTTTTGCGTCGCCAAAGTTATAGGATCAAAATCCCCGATCGTCCTTTTCAAAATTGGTCAATTTAATCGTAGAAGCTACTTTACAGGAAAGCCGAGGCAACTAAACTTCAACGTCTGTTTCGACAACGTGGTCGATGCTTGAAAACCCGATTGATACCATAGTATTTTGAATTGGGTATTTTCTCTAACTATTTTAGAGAAACCTAGCCATAATCTAACCCCTAACCTTATTCTTATACGAAACCGAATTCGCTGTAGAAAGAGGAGATATTTTCCTGTTTAACCTACAAAGATTCAAAATTAATTCAACGATAAAAAAATCTGTTCTAACAAAGTTTAAATCTCGTATTTTATAGCATTCAAAATTATAATAAATTTTAATTGTGGGTTGGCTAAGTCACTTTAGGAAGAGAGAGACGTCCGTTCGTTGTCACTCCTCGTGTATTTCCGGCTCTCAGACACGGAGAGTGAAAGATCTGTAATAAATGCCGATTTCTCGCCTTGCATAACTCAGACTCTGCCTGACTCAATGTTGCTTCGTCATCTTTGACTACTGTGCGCGACTTTTGACTATAGATGGACTGACGTGTCAAATAGACGTTCCTATATTTGATTAAATAATAAAATTGTTGTGTAAGCAAGTCACAAAATGTGTTTGTGTCTAAAACTCTATTTCTTACCTCATTTTTTGTCGCTGACATAGTTTCGGTTGCTCACAACAAGGCGTTACATAATTTTAACTTGGTAAAAAAGTGTGTATTCGACAAAAATTTTTAATTTACATCAGCACAATATGTCGGTGGCTCACATTAAGTACGAAGATTTCGATTTTAAAACTGACGACAACCTTAAGATGAGGTTGGAATGTCTAGCGTTAGTCAAAGCTAATACTAATAGGCATGATTGCGGTTTCTTGGTTATTTCAAAACCCTGTGTGTTTATGATCAATAATTTGTTTATTTTAATTTCTACTAAATACTTAGGCCTACATTTTAATGACTTCCCTACTTACGTCCCTTACTCTATGGTTGCAATACCAAAGGACACGCAGGAAATTGCAAATGGGGCTATTGTTTGAAATTGTTTTATGTTACATAGTAAAATAACCAATAGGCAAATAAAAAGACTACGTCAACCCGCGTAACAGGATTGAATAGAAAACACCCGAAAACTGTCCTTTATTCACGAATATGATAAATCCCATACCGGAGTGTTTTGACCAAAACCTGTTAACTGTCTCCACCTATACCAGCAAGTTACTTTCGCATACGGTAGTTACCGGTGATAAAATACACGTATAATGAACCTCAATAACTCACCGATCTTTCTTACAGCAATAAAGCAAACTATTGTTCCAACACGTAAGATTACTGTTACGCCGCGTTTCTCACAGACCATCGGTTCCCATACGTAACAAGTTTGGGCCATCGTAACCTATCTAGGCCGCAATTACGCACCCGAGTGGTGCTGAATGCAACACCATCCGTGCGTGGAAAACTTCGTAGAGACGAGTTCTCGCACGCGTAACATACTAACAGGCGATATACATTGTGTCCCACGAAGAGGTTTAAGCTTTTATTGTATAAATAAACACATGCCCATTTATGTCTAGATTTAAAATGATACAACTATAATTATATCACTTGTAAAGTAGGTTTTACGTATATTCTGTAAAACATTCAGCTCCCTAGAATTTACAGGGTTAAAATAGTGGCATATTGGTAAACGATGCTTAAAACAGTAAAAATAGAGTTTATGGAATATTTTAACTGTCATTTACCTGTTAAATAAGGCATTTCAATCAGAAAACTGGAATAATTCAAACTGAAATCCATCCACAGCAAGTCACCAAGCAGTTAAGCTTATGTTTCGTTACATGAAGTAATAGCCGCATTAGTTCACTTATTGTTCAACATAAAATTTAGTTTTTTATTCATTTTTAGTACAGCTGTACCAGAGAAAATTAGGTTGGTAGCATCGTTCAAGCAATATCCCCCAATCAATCAGCTGTTCAACAATAAGCGTCAAAACTACAACGTATACGCATGAGCACGGCCTCCTCGATTACAAGGCCACGGCTAGACAAAAGTGGCAACAACGCAGACTCGGCCTACTGAAATTGCTGTTGCTCTAATGGAGCGTATGTGCAGTTGTTATGTTTACACGTGTGTTATCATTGTTACCATGACAATAGGACGGCCGATGCGACGTTGCCACACACCAAAGCCGAAAAAATCTGCTTCATGTACAACTTTAAATTGATCGGTGCATAAATGGGTAAGTACAAATTTGTAGACCTCTTCTTGGGCCCAACACTCTATTACACCCTACACACACGGAGCTACGATTACTTCAAATACACACACACACACACACACACTCGCCCTTGTGTTGTTTAATTGACCGAGGACGCGGCCACGGTTTCACTATTTCGACACTAGTTCCCACATTAAGCAGCTATCACAGAGGGTCCCAGGCTGCTATGGTCTCATTTAATTGTTCCCTGGCTTTCTAGTGGTAGAGAGTAATTTCGGTTGGCAAACCTGGTGCGACCTCAGAAGGTCACTCAAGGCCGGATGATTTCATGTGATTTACTCCTATTGGTTAGATTATTACTCGATCGGATTGGTATCTGTTATGTAAGTTAAGTTATTGTGGTCACGACGTGCGTATATGGTAAAATCTTGAAAGTTTAAAGTGAAAGAAAAAAAGTATAAGTCTTTGTTTCAATTTGCCAGTGTAATTATTATCATGCTTAATGGATAATGAAAAACACTATATAATAATCAATTTCTTTGCATTTTTGATTTAACGAGATTTACAGATACTGTACTACAGACATACAGGTATTGATTTTTTTTCAAATTTAAGTTGAATTCTTTCCAAATAATCTTTTTACTTACTCCTACTAAGTTTTGGTCAAAGTTGTACTTTAGCTTCAGTAACTTTCTTTAGTCAGATTTGTAGGGATGGCTGAAAAATAATTTATTACAATATACAATAAAGAAGTTTTCTGTGCAATTTTAGCAATCATTTAAGACAAGTTGAACATAAATGGTGATTTTGAAATGGTTAGCCAGGACTATCCTGTGTTAGGCAATTGCGTTTTACGTAGAGCCTTATCTGTCTTTGTTGTTTTTTTAGGTAGGCTTAAGTCAAACATTTTCTCTCATATGTTATTCTTAAACCATTGGTCGAGACTTAGAAATGAGCAGATTTGCTATATTAATGCGCTCACCAACTATTTAATTCGTAAAGGCTTGGGCTAAGTCCCCTTCTTTGGTTGTCTATGACAGTGGCTAATCATGACACTGAAACATTACGAAACTTTCGAAACAACGCAAGGTGGTCGCGTCAAAGACATGTAAAGTCCCGAGGCTTTATACGGCAGTGGCATCTCCTTGACATGCAGCCTGTCTTCGGCTTACCTTCGGTTGTCTTTGGCCATTGTCTAGATCAGCTGTGGCAATAACCAGTCAGCTGTTTTGGAAATGTTCAGGAATCACTCGACACTAACAGTAGAATTCCTTGGATTAATGTCGTCCCGTGATGGAATCCAGCTTAGACCTACATTTTTGTACAGTTTATGGTGTTCAAGAGGAACAAATAGGTTAGAAGACTGTAAGTTTAATGTTTTACTTGCCACAAAAGTAAAAATGCTTGAAATGATTTCGTATTTTTTTTACAACGGAATACCTACTATTGCAATCCGTTTGAACATGTGAATGTCTACCGCTACCGGTTCTATAATGAACAGTCTTTGGTTTTTTAGCAGGGCTGTTACTAAAGACGCTTCCTAATACTTCCGCACAAGGAAAGATAAATTCCAAGAAAACATTAAGATTAACTATCAAACATTAGCTTATCTCAACGACCATTAAAGGCAGAAAAGAAATTCTGCTGTAATTTAAGAGAAATTTAGTAGGAACTTCATATACAAAACGTCGTCCTTAATCGAGGAATTATATCAAAGAAACCTAAAAACGCGTGATTTTTTCTCTCATACTTCACTTTTGTTCTCGGAAACAAATTTACCAAGATGCACAATTATCTATAACCTCAAAAACAAAGGGTCAAAATCTACTTGAACAAAGAAATTTGAAGATATATTATTTCTGAAGTTGCAGTTAAAGCAGTTCTGCTACAAACACACCACAACTGACAATAAAACAATAATCAGTTTATACAACACAAATATAAAACTTTCCACTGTAAAAAATCACTATATTTTAGTGGTGAAAAGTCGTGCGAACACTATAATGTGACATGGCAAACTAACTATAAAAAGCAATGATGACGACGGAAATAAACTGTAATTATCTACAAAAACTGCTAGGAACTCGGAAGATTTCCTAAACACATCTAGAAACTCTAATGTCACCTGTACTTCCTAATTGTTCTGTGAACACTGTAAATCTGAGCCCGCTAAGTCGTTAAATTGTAGCTAACTAGTAACTATAACTACTATAACTAACCATAGCTCGTCTAACCGAACTGTACCCCGTTAGAGCAGTTCACTTATCCCAAGTGTGTTTTGTATTTCATTACTCCCCTCGCAATTAGGCTCAATATATCGATTGTTGGTTGGATAAACGAAGACTTCATTAAATACAACCATTTAAGTCTCTCACACTATAAATCTATACTTTGGTGTAAAACGGTGCTTTACACCACGGAGTTTCGATCGATAGTGCGGGAGACTTCAATGGCCGTATTTAATGAAGTCTTGGATTGAATAGTGAATGTATCATGGTCAACTGAAAAAGGCGTTGAATCTCAAATGTTATAATATCACATTTCCGATTAAAATCCACAAGATTTTCAATTGGTTTAATTTT